ACCTTCTGTTTTCTGTTGATCTTGTAACCTCTGGTGCATTCAATAGCTTTATTAAATTAGAAAAATAATATTTTCCACTTTTGAAAGCAAGCCATCACACAAACAGACCTAGAGTTTGCATGCGGAATGAATATTTTATTACTAGATTATAAAAATAAAATACAAAATAATTTTAAAACAGAACTTAAAACACTGTACAAAGCTTTAATATGATACAAATGGGGAAATTAAATAAATAATTACACTTTTATGTACAGATGGCCTATACAAAAGCACTCTGTGTTTCTGCCAATACTCTTATGTCCTTGTTTGCCTGAGCAAAAACGCATAAAAAGGGCTGGTTGGAGGGAAAAGGACAATACAATACCTTTGGAGGTATTTCAAAGAGCAACTTCTCATCACTGATTTCATGAAGAGGAGAAAGGGAGAAAACTGTGGGATTATTAAAGTCCTCTATTTTAAGTTACTGGTCTTGATCGACAAGAAAATTCTTCTGGCTTGTGGTTCAATCTGATGTAACAGTTGCCAAGAGTTCATAACTTTCAAGAATTATATCTAGTCAAAACTAGATGTTTCCCCCTCCCTCTTTTTTCCCAAAAGCTGTGAAACTCATAAATAAATGGCCCAAAGAAATCGACACTGGCAATTTTAGGAATGGAGTCAGGAGGGGGACCAGGAATGGTATAGGAGGGAGGGAGTGCATGGGCTCAGTGTGGGTCAACTGTTCTCTTTGTTCAATTCACTCAATCCAATTCCAGAGCCATAGGTGGCACAGTGTTGTGATCTTCCTAACTATTTCTTAATGCTTTTTACCTTAGTGAACTAACTTAACCTATCTTGTGACTCATTTAAAAAGAAAACAGTTTTGAAAAGTCCTCAGGGCTTTCCCTTCCTGGGCTACTCCCTAAAATAAATCACATTCAGACTCTAGTACTAAGCCTTGTTTATCCCTTATGGGTGAGTGAAGAATACCCAGATTCCAAAAATGGTGAAGTGCTGTGAATGAACTTTTAAAGATTTAAAAACATGTATTATAAGGTGGGGAGAAAGCATCATATGGCAAGGATAGTTTGTATTAAAAACTTCGGTTTACTCAATGTTTTTAGCTGGGTAAGTGAACACTTCTGTACACAATATGCAACGGTATTAAACTACTGAAAAGAGGTAAAATTGCTATCCATCATTAGTGTGTAAAATTATGTCACTGGCAAATTCTATACTCACATGGGCTCAAAGATTTGCCTATGGAATCCTACTCTGTAGGTCAAGGAACCCAGAACCACTGGCCCAGGGTATCTAAGAGACATGTCAGCATCAGCAGTGATACATACGTACTCTGTCACTTCCAACTGAAGAGGCAGCTCTGTGAAAGTTTCACAGGGTAATGAAGGAAAAGGCTCTTATTTTACATGTCTCCTTAAGACCAAAGATCCAGCAAAGTGTAAGGAAATCTTCAAATTACTACTGACTAGATGTTACTTTTGGTTGTTCCTTTTTTCGAGATTGTTTTTAATAACCACAAAGTGATCTTGATCTTGTCACATACTTTCATTTTCTGATCCAAATTTGCTCAAGGGGAATAATTAAACATCAAGCTTACACTTTAAAAGTCAGAGCAGATAATAACAACTTAATCAGGCAATGTAGTAATGGGCCAGGATGCTAATGTCATTATTTCATGTCCAGCCAGAGATTTCTCAAGGACTGAGGTGTGCAGCATCCAAATTCCCCTTTAAATTAATAGGGATCTTTGTCCCTTGTCCTGGAGTTACTTGAGAACTACAGGAATTCCCCATATGCCTCTTGCAGTTCTCCCTTGCACCGCTGGCAGCAGATTCTGCAGGCTCCCACAACTATGTGGGTTCACTTTCTCCTAATTCCAAAGGGATGGCCAAACTACTGAGAAATCAAATGATAATGATATGACGCTTCCATGCATGAGGTATACACCATAGTTCTATTAGATGAGGACAGGGAAGCGCGATGTCCTAAAAAGCACCTGGCGTTTTCTGTGCACCACATCCTCCTGTCCGGTCTGAGGACTGTAGCTGCCGCACGTTCCCTTCTGTAAGTAAAGGTCTAAATCTGCACCTCTGGATTCAGACTCAGGTAAATATTGACATATGAGGACTACCACCATGGTTACATGCCTTAATCCTGTAATACTCTTTGTGTTAAAACATAGATAACTCTTCTGCAAATAAACTGTACAGACCCAAAACTCAAGAAAGTTAAACAATGCCACTGTCCTCAACCATTCTATCTCCTCAGTGCTATAGGTGCCAAAATATGTCTCTCTTTAAGCAACGTCCCAAAACATCTGTGGTAAATGCACATAAACAGAAATGGGCAGAATATAAAAGAGTGAATGCAAACAAGTTAATTCCAAAATACATGAACATGACAGGAGAAATGGTTCCCAACATATGCCATGTTCTGATAGATCTAAGGGAATGAAAAAAGTTTTAAAATGTGAAAACTTTGATCTCCAAGACTAAATCTAGACTTATCTACAAATAAATATATTTTCAAATAGCCAGAATAGAATAAGATGCATTTTGTTCCCTAACCCACTAAATTCTGAATTCCGGATCCTGTTTCTCCTATCACCAATTCCTAATGTTAGATTAAGAATATAGTTCCTAGAACAAAGACTCCTCTGGGGGGAAAGCATCTGTTTTTAATTCAAAGCTATCGAGTATAGAAAAACTAATTATAGTTTTAACTATCTGCATATGGGTTTACAAGACATGCACCAATGTACACTTTTTCCTTGTAGATTGAATGCAACCATAGAAACATTTGCATAAAAATCTGTGGCCTGGCAGGAATCTTTGATGATTACCAAAGAAATCAAGTTCCCCTAGTGGCTACGAGCTGAAAAGAAAGAGATACTGCACAACTAGTCCACTGAATCAGGAAGCAGCTGAGATTTGCTTTGTATTTTAAAGCAAATAATACAAAGTGGATAATGACAACAGTGGGTATCAATGACCATTTTGCTACTTATTTAGAACTGGACGGACCTGGCAACTTTTACAAAAAACATTCACTTCACAACATGCAACTTAAGAAACAGTAAATATGATGGTGCCCTTAGCAAGGCCAGCTTGCATACCAAGTTGGGAATGAGAACGCCTGCGTGAGACTTACCATTCAAAGATGTTTACAGTCTGTGCTTTAAGCTTATGCTTGATATTATCTGATTTTCCTTTGTTCACTATACATTAAAGTTAAATGCCTTTATGCTGCACAAAAGATTCTCAGGTGAAATTTTAATATTTCAAACAGTCTGTACACCCCAGAGATTTGGCAGCATAATATAAGAAGAATGCTACCTACAGGGAATGAGCTAGTGCTAATCCATTTTCTGCTCCACAAGTAATTCTAGAGCCTAGACATGGCCGTGTAAGGGCAAGTTGCCATTCTGCTGTGAGAGGAAAAACCAGGAGGCACTTGATTTTTCAAAAGAGAATTTTAACTTTTGCTCCATACTACGTTTAGTATAGTCTGGTTTGACTTTAATGGCCATGTCCTTCATCTTAGGTAGAATAACCAAACTGATTTAAAATTGTTGGTTGATCTATGTTTTTCACTGAGATCTGAAATATGCCAACACTAAAAAACCCCAAAATAAATAAAAAATAAGGAACTAAAAACAACACCAACAAACAAATAACAAACCTATTCCCTATATCATAACCTTAAAATAAAAACAAAAATCCTTGGGCCAAAAATGTTTTGCTCAGGGCTAACTTCTCTTTCTAGCCTGAGACATTGAACATCTAAAAGCAAAAACTATGCTTTTAAAAACCATGAAGTAAATCTCTGTATCAGCTAGTACTTTTAGGTGGACCTATTGATACATAAGCTATAACTAGTCTGTTTTAAAGTATCAGAGCAGAAACATCTTTGGTTAACTCTTTCCTTTACATGCAAAATAGAGTATTCTTATACAACGAGGCTGTTTCTCTCTGGATCTGGAGTTTGTCAGGGCCATTTAGAAAAGGGGGCAACACAGTGGAAAAGTTGGGAGAAAAACAAGAAACCAGAGAGAGAAAACATTCAATCGCCACGCTGCCATCATTGTCTGTTTTGGCCGCCAGAAGAGAAATACCAATAAAAAACAACACACACACCACAACTGTTCCTGACAGTCATGACTGGCACATTTCAGATGATAGGGGTCAGGATTTAAAGCTGGCTACTCTTAGCACAATTTAGCTACTACAACAGAACAAAGATAATTCCTTAACTGTAGATTACTCCACTCCCCCACCACCCAAAAAAATTGTGAGATGAAAAGAGGAATGTAGAATGGCAACTTTAAGACATTTTAAAAAAATATCAATTTATGTGAGACCCATGATTATCATCCTAGTTTATCCCCTTAAGCCATAAGGATAGAATTATGTGATTAACATGACAAATTTTTGAATCAGTATTATAAGCATGTCCTGGTAATTTTTTCCCCTATTAAAATTTTTTAAAAGTGAAAATTAAATAACCTATCTTGGCTTAAAGGCTGCCAACCCTTGCATTATTACACAAAGAAGGCAAGAAGAATCTGAAGTGTCCCATGCCAAGAACATATTTTCAGAAAATGAAGATAGGCAAGGCCCAAGTGTACGCGAGGCACACAATAAAAAGGAATTTCACCATCTGTGATCTTGAAATTACAAATGGAGAATGAGAAAGAATGAGTTTATATAAGCATATGTTTCTCTATATATTTATAAATATTTATATCATTTACCATGAAGACATGCAAGTAGTGTTATAGCAACTATTATACAATATAATACAGAAGGACTGGTCTTCCAATATTACAGTTGCTGTAGTTAAAGAGCAAATTTGTCTTATCTATTGCATTCCTCTGTAGTGCTTGAAACTGGATAGAAATTAAGATTCCAAACTATGCTACATTTCTTACAGGAGATCATATAGGACTCAACAGTGCTTTGAGTTTCGGGGGGTTTTTTGTTTTTTTTTTTTGTTTGTTTGTTTTTTTAAAAAAGCTCAACACAGATAAAGAGAACGAGAGAAGTTCAGTGCAGCTTCAGGGCAGCTTTGATGCAGCATTATAATGTATTCACTTGGTGAGGAAATATACTTCTTTCTTTTTTTTTTTTCTTGTTTTCCAATTCAACCATGTTAAGCTTTGGCAGCAAACACAAGGTCAAAAAGAATGCACAGATGTTTGCTAGAAGGCAAATTTCAACAGCAAGCAGACCAATTGACCTGACCTCAATAAGGTCTTTACAACACAAAACACCTACAGAGTAGAAAAGAGCCCCTTTGAAAAATCTAGCATAATTTACTTTTGCCTGATTCCTGTTACCAGAAGAGTGAAATCAGAGTATGTTCCTCCTCAGAGCTTTATAAATTGAGGTTACAAGGAACTCAGGTCCAAAAGCCCAAATATTGAAACTAAAGCACGAGAGAAGCAGGTAATAAAACATTAGAAGATAAATATTGAGCCTAAATTTATTTCCCCAGATACTCATTCCTTATTGGCTAAATATATAAAATACAAAGTTTGAGGATTATAAGCCTCAACAACGTACCTAATTTCTCTCTATTTTTCTTTCTAAATCTCTAAAAGCATAAAGTCACACTCCACAGCATTGTATTTCCCTGGTATCATCTTGGAGGTTGATATTGGAAATAGCTGGTATCCAGAAGACCTAAGAAAGCAAGGTCTACTCTGGTCGGTCTTCCTTCAACAAGGAGGAAACAGAGGGAAGAGGGTTCTTTCGTCTTGAAGGGTATTAGCCTTATTCTGTCCCTCTCTCCCTAAAGCACTAAAGCCTGGAAAGGAGCTCTATTTAGACTTCTTCCTTTACCTAAGTTTCAGTAGTTCTTTTTCACAATAAAAATATACTAAGAACTACTGCTCCACAGAAAAATATTAGAGGACTAAAAAAAAAACAACTGGATTTGGAATTTTCATCATGTGCTGCTAAAAGCATATTAGAATGTATTGTTAAAGTAAAAGAAAGACTGCATCAGGTCAGATAGACTAACTTTAAAAACTGTGAAATCCAGGGAGGGTAGCAGGCATGAGGCAAAGTAAAGGTGTGAACTCTCAACACACTAGATAAATACACAAACCACATTTGTGTGAGCACTGGCTCTCCAGCAGCAGACTTGTTACAATTCCTAATATCAGAGCAATTCTAATTCTCCAAGGTTGGGAAGTTTGAATAAAAATATTAAAAACAAGAAGTTTCACTTTTTGCTGTATAATCTTTGAGCAATGCCTTAAAAAACAAAACAGGCCCAAACCCCTTAAAATTCTATTCCATCTCCTTCCTTCAACTCTTTTGTTCAAAGGCAGCTACAAAATGAGAGTTCATTTAATCTTCCCCTTGGATCCTGCTGGATTGCCCCTTCCTATGCAAAGGCATTGATTGATTCCTGATCTGCTTGCTGCCTGCCTTAGGTAATTCCTTATTATATATTTATGTCTTCTTATAAATAATTTATCATGTTACTTTCTTTTGCAAGAGAAGGCCAACACTGATTTTTTAAATAGACAGTACAGGGACACACATGCATCAGGTTCAGGAGGAAGATCTCACACCTTTTACAGAGATGCAGCCCGGCTCCTATCTGCTGAGTTTAGTGGCTGACTTACTCTTCCCTGGGGGGGCTTTAGTGCCGGCGGAGTGGTGGTGGAGGCTGCTGGATCCTTTCAGGCCATTCTTGCTGGGTTTGCAATGCTCCTGTTGGCAGGACCTCCTGGAGGAGGAAGATCCTGAGTGGCTGGGAGGTGACTTGCTTCTCCCCAGATGTGGGGATGAACTCCTCTGGTCATGGTGGGGCCGTCCAGCCCTCGATGGTGAGGAACTAGATGTGCGAGGCAAGGAAGAGCTTCGAGGAGAGGCACTGGGACTCCTGCGAGGGACAACTGGACTCTTGGGTGGTGTTTTTGGATTGTGAGGGGATCCTGGACTCTTGCACTGAGTAGTGCTCCGGGGTTTCTGAGTTCCATTTTGAAGAATTTGGGCCAGGCGGGAGAAAAGGTCTGAGTCGGAATTACTACTCCCTAGGACTTTGTATCTGCGGAGCCTTAAAGGAACAGAGAAGAATTCTTTTCATTTTAATTCAAATGATCCAGAAAGTCACAATGTCCCAAATGATAATGTCTGATGTGAGTCAAGTAAGCAAACACAGGAAACAGAGTTACTATTTCACACACCACTTGTATGATCCTAGATAAACCTCTCCTAGCTTTTTTTTTTTTTTTAAGTGAAGTATAGTTGACATACAATGTTACATTAATTCCAGGTGATTTGACAAATCTATACCTTACATAATGCTAACCATGATAAGTTTGGTCACCATCTGTCACTATGCAAAGTTATTACAATATGATTGACTAAATTCCCTTTGTTGTACTCCCCCTTCACCTATTTCACCCATCCCTCCAACCCCACCAACTGTTCTTTGTATTTATGAGTATTTGTTTGTTTGTTTGCTTGATTGTTTTTTGTTTTGTTTTTTTAGATTTCACATATAAGTGAAATCAGATGATACCTGTCTTTCTCTGAATTATTTCCTTTGGTATAATACCCTCAAGTCCATCTATGTTGTAAATGGCAATCCATGTCCATTCTTTTCTATGGCTGAGCAATATTCTCTCTCTCTCTCTCTCACACACACACACACACACACACACACACACCCTGTATCTTTAACCATTCATCCATCAATGGAAACGGGCTGTGTCCATATCTTATAAACATAGGGGTGCATGTATCTTTTCAAATTAGTGTTTTGTTTGCTGTGGGTAAAATACTCAGCAGTGGAATTACTGGATCATATGGTAGTTCCACTTTTCATTTTTTGAGGAAATTCCATACTGTTTGCAATAGCTGCTGCATAAATCCCATCCTGAGCAGCAGTTCACGTAACCTTTCTTAGCTTTTAATAGGAATGCTATCTACCTCCCAGGATTACTGAGCAGCTAAGAACAGTGGCCCAAGTATTTAGTTGGATGTCTGCCATTCAGAAGCACTTAAATGTTGTTAGTTCCTTTCCTCCTAAGGCATGTTTGCTCTTCAAATTAATGAAACATTTCTAGCATGTTAGTAAGTGTGAGAGAGAGTAAACCATTTTGTTTAAGGCTCCCATGACAGAAATGTGGCACGTACATATGCAAACATTAAGCCCCACAATGCCAGTCTTCAACATGATCTGTACTCACCAACAGCAGGAAATACAGATAAAAGTATATTTTAACCTCATTAAATACTTTCCAAAAGGAAAGAGTAGTCACTGGTTTCTTGGGGTCTCAGTTTCTGCCCTTGACAACAGTCTTGAGATTCAGGAGAGCTGGGTTTGGGGGATGACTGCCTTGTCTTACTGGCAACTGAGCTTGGGCCTTAGAGTTCTAAATCTAGAAAATATTCATATGAATAGCAGTGTCTTCTCTGACCTAAATGTCTGTCTTGGGCTAAAATCCATTCAGTTAAAAAATAATTTAAACCTTAAACAGCAAACATGTCACTTCCTTATAGATGGAAGTGGGAGAACTTCCAAGGTTGTATGATCACTGGCAGGATGCAGGGTCATAAACAGCCATCATCAATCACCATCACGGGTCAGCAACAAGTTACTGACTTTTTGTCTGAATTTTCTCCCCTCTTCCTTTCCCACCATCTACTTATTCTGACATGATGAAACTCACTCTGGTTAAGCCCACCTCATGCATCTTAACGTAAAACTTGAAGAAGGGAGTAAAATAATTCTGTGTCAGGACCCAAGTGGGAAAGTTGAGTTGCTGCTGAGTTCCCAGATAAGTCCAAGCCAGTCAGCTCTGTAGTATGTGGCACAATGCCACATGCTTGGCTTGGTTACCAAGTGCTACTTTTAAGTGACACGTAAAGTACTAAATAATAAATGATAATCAAGATTTGTTTGTTGCAGTCCAATGCATCTCAAGCCACAGACACATCATCTCTATTAATTACGGAGGACAAGCAGAAGAATGAGGGGACATGTGGCTACTGTTCACGCAATCATGCAATCACCTTTAAAAATGTCTCAAATGACTGTAGTTTAAACATCACCATTCTCCTTGTGGAAGCCTTGTCCCAATGGTACTGCAAATTTAATGTTTAGTGACCCTTGAACATGAAACCTTGGGGCAAATCTAAACTTACCTTAGGGGAGCAAAGTCTTCTGGGTAATGATACAGACAGAACCTCACTTTAATACACTTCAGAATCCATTTAATAGGTGAAGATATACTGCTGTACTACCTATAACAGGCTCTAGTTTTCAGGGAAATGTATTTTGATTTTCACCTTGTTCTAGGTAAAAGGTCATCCTTTTTCTCTTTCTTCTCCAAGGGTTTAAACCCTTCTAGTCTATGAAAGTGAGTAATGGCTCGAACGAAAACATTGTTAACTGGTTCATTACTTCCCAATATTTCCCTCTCTTCTTTGAAGCAGAATCACTCTTGGGGCACCTGGGTGGCTTAATCAGTTAAGCGTCCGACTCTTGATTTCAGCTCAGGTCATGATCTCAAGGTTCAAGGGTCTGAGGCCCTCATCAGGCTTCCACACTGACAGTGCAGAGCTTGCTTGGGATTCTCTCTCTCTCTCTCTCTCTCTCTCTGCCTCTCCCTGGCTTGCGCGCACGCACGCAAACACACACACGCCCACACATGGTCTCTCTCCTCTCTCTCTCAAATTAAATAAACTCAAAAAATATATAATCACTCTGTGGTCAACTATACATAAGAATACTTCAATGAACAAGTATACCATACAATAAATATTAAAATACAATAAATATTAAAGTGATACTTTTGTAAGGCTATATGTATCATCAGACCTAGGGAAACTGCCCAAAGGGTTTTTGTGTTTGTTTAATTCACTATAATCAGGTAAAAAGCACCATTACCAGGACCCATTTATTAAATTATGGACACAGGAGGTGCGTGGGTGGCTTAACTGTTTGAGTGTGCAACTCTTGATTTCGGCTCAGATCATGATACCAGGGTTATGGGATCAAGCCCCACAATGGGCTCCACTCTAAGAATGGAGCCTGCTTAAGATCACTCTCTCCCTCTGCTCCTCTCCCCTGCCTGCATGCTCTCTCTCTAATAAAATAAATTATGGAACAGTCTTTTTCACTAGAATTTGACATCATAGTGACATGTTTTATAATGAAGTATCTAGTTAAAATGAACTAGAAGAGAAGTAACCTTTGCTGCATGCTAATTAAGCCCAGTACAATGCTCCACATGTATGCAACCTTATTTTATCCCCCCAACCACGAGGCAAATGCAAGACCTATTTCATAGATGCGGAAACTAAGGGTCACACTGCGAGAAAGTGGGAGAGGCATGAATTAATGTGAATCACTATGATCCCTTGTATACACTGAGCTATAAAGCTTGGAAAAGGCAGGGAAGGAAGTAGATGATCAAAAGCAGGCAACGAAGAAATGAAACCACTGATATATCATAATCAAGCAGACACAAATAACACTATACACTTAACACAGAACACACGGAATTACCTGGCTTCTACTCCAGGCCTTGTGGGGGGCTTTCCTGGTGGTGGCCGAGGCAAGAACTGAGCTGAAGTTGCGCTACTAACTTGATCTGTGTTGACCCATGAAACTGGCCTTGGAATTTTGCTCTTTCTGGACTGGGAGATGATGGGTGACAGAAAGCTGTCTTCGGCTGATCTGCTCAGGTGCGAGTCTACAGCCAGTCTTGAAAAGGGAGTGAAGACATCCTCCTCAGAAAAGGGAGCAGGAACAGTAGCTAGTCTCTCCTCTAGCAATTTATCGGAGGCACTTGAGAGGTCCCCAAGGAAAGACTTGAGTTGCCTTTTTTCCACCAGAAGCCTGACGAGGTCTGGCTGATAAGCTTTCTTTTGGAGGAGCTTTTCTTTTGCAGAGACTGGAGAGGATGATTCAAAAGTTGAGTCTATCTCTTGTGCTAAAACAGGGATTCGGCTGTGTCTAGTTACAAATGATGACCTAACCCCATCCTTCCGGGATGGGGGACAATGTTCATTCTCTGAAACACAATGAAGTAATTCTCCATTTCTTGGGGCAATTTTCTCTCTATCGCCCTCTTGGTGCAAAAAAGTAGACAGATCTCCCTGATGACCTGGCAAGTCTTCACTCTTGATGTCATCATCCTTAGATATCTTACTTTTTTGCATTGCTGCAACCTGACCTATCTGTCCTTCAACATGTGGGTCAATCACTTGTGGAGAAATTTCTGAAGTTGCAACTGCCAGAATCTTCATTATCTCATGATTTTTGTCTTGATTTGGCACCACACTAAAAGTCTGTGTCTTTGTCACATCAAGAGGTTCAGTAGTAGCTGAGTGATCCCTTTCCACAGTTACCAAGTCTCCTGGAAGAGAGGCGATCTCAATATAATGCTGCCCTTTACTTAGCTTCTCATCTTCATTATCTGATCCTAGAAGAATGCTTTTCTCTTCCGTTTCCCTAGGGAGACTCTCAAATTCTCTCACAGCCAGTCTGTTATGGTCAGTGAGGTCTTTTGGTCCCAGGTCTTGAGATTTGTTACTCTCTCTAATACTGGGTAACAAGTCATGACCAATATGATCTATCTGAAGTCCCAAGTCTGTTCTGCTTCCTCCACTAGGAGGTTCACCCTCTATTACGACTAGGCCAGAGAAGTTCTCCCTTGGAGAGTAAAGTTCTACAGTGGGCTCCACAGGCTGAAGGTCTTTTTTCTCTGGCTGCTGACCATAGTGAAAGCTTCCTGAAGTTGACTGTGTGGATGCCACAGAAGGTCTAGGAATTGTAATCTGGAAACACAGAAGAAAAAATATAATGCAATAACGTGGAATATTAATAAAGATGCATGATTCGAAATTAACACTTCAAAGTCTAATTTATTAGAGGAACACAGATGTTGACCAGGTCTGTCCAACTCATACTTAAAATGAACAATTCTGAATCAAAGTATATGACACCTAAGCTCCCCTACTCAGGAGCTGTACAAAACAGTCTCCATCTAGACTCATTCCTGCCTTTTCTTTAGCCTGCTCTGTGCTCTGGAAGACTGATTTCTACAGACTGCACTATCCAGGCTCCCTTGCCTTCTGATTGCTGACTGGGTTCGACCAACGGGAAGCACCAACAGAGAATCAGAGAATTTGGGGGAGAGAAAGGTCTGGATATTAATTCTCTCTGCTTCCTGCCCAAGAGACAGCAGCACTGGTGGTGACTACATTCTACCACTTCTGGCCACAGCTGCTATCTCAGGGCCCTTCTCCCAGCTTCTGCTCCCTCTTCCTTCTCTTGCAGGACTCAAGATAGAATTGACTCCCTCTACTGATGGTCCTGTTAGTTTTCTTTATTCTATCTACACATCTGTGAAACGTTCTTTTCATTAAATTCTAAGTCCCCTTCAGTGTGTCAGCTATTTCCTGCCAGAATCCAGATACAGGATTAAAGGAAAAAATTACTGGCAAATTACTGTAAGTTTAAAAACTCTGGATTTACATGCATTTTGTTTCCCATAAATCCTTTCAATAAACAATGATAGGAATATTTTATCTTCTCATAAGCAAAGACCTGCAAAGATGTTTCCTAATGTTCCATTAGTTTCTTCAAATTTTTAAGGACAAGCCTATGATAAATCCTTTCATTTAAGTCATTTCAAGTCTATGTGAATGAGATTCAGTATCTAATAAGAATGTCCTTTTTTTTTTTTTTTTAAATTTTTTTTAAAAATGTTTTATTTATTTCTAGGAGAGAGAGAGAGAGACAGCGTGAGCAGGGGAGGGTCAGAGAGAGAGGGAGTCACAGACTGAAACAGGCTCCAGGCTCCGAGCTGGCAGTCAGCACAGAGCCCGACGCGGGGCTCGAACCCACGAACCGCGAGATCATGACCTAAGCGAAAGTCGGACGCTTAACCGACTAAGCCACCCAGGCGCCCCAAGAATGTCCTTTCTTAAGACTCCTAAAGTTTCTACATTTTCACGTTTGTTAAAAATGACATGTAAAAAAAAGTGACATGTAAGGAGACAGAAAATATCAACCACATACACTGATAAGGAAAAAAGCCTTTCTGAGAAATCAAGTAAGTCAAATTACTTAATGAAACCAATTATGTTCTAGGAAAACTATGGAAATTGGCCTGAATTCAAAGCAAAATGAATCTGGAGCCGTCGTAGGAGATTTCACTTAGAATCCATCTTAATCCAAAGACATTAAGAAATGGGTGTAGTTCCTAAATCAGAGAAATTATCTGGATTTGTTTCACTGTATGTCAGGAATACAATTAGGTTTAAGAATATGTAAAGCTTGGGGTGCCTGGGTGGCTCAGCTGGTTAAGCGTCTGACTCTTGATTTTCAGCTCAGGTCACGGTCACACAGCTTGTGGGTTCGGGCCCCACATCAGGCTCTGTGCCAGCAGAGTCTGCTTGGGATCTCTTTCTCTCTCTCTCTTTCTTTCTACCCCTCCCCTGCTCGTTCTCTCTCTCTCTGAAAATAAATAAATAAATAAGCATTAAAAAAAAAAAAAAAAAAAAAAAAAAAAGGACATGTAAAGCTTGTCCTAAGTCCAGCCCAGGAGAAAACACCTAACAAATGTCCTAAAATAGCTCCTGAATGGAACCAGTGTCCTGAGCATCTGTCTGGTTAATTAAATACAGGCTGTTTACGTTCAGATGAGAATTCTTACAATAAGACCAGACCTATAATGACCTTCAAGAAAAGGGAGTAAGTTCTAGTGGTGTGTTGCCTTTCACTAAGTCACTTTATACTTGTATCTCTGTTTCACTGTTCTAAAATATACATTCAGGCAGATAGCAATTATCTAGTATATTTTAAAAATGATATTGAAACCTAAAATATATATTTACTATTCAAAATGTATTTTTTTAAGACCCGAGAGGGTGATAAGAAAACCAGGTAAGAAGTTACAATAAATGTCAAATAACAAGGGAGATGACTCTACCTACATTCAAAATAAACCAACAGTCACTTCATTATTATATATAATTCCTGAAACACCAGCCAAAATAAACTCAGCAGCGTCTACAAAAATAACAGTCCAATGATCTTCTGAGACTGGAGCTAGGGAATCAATTCACTTGTGAGCTTAACTCAGATTCAGAATATAAATGGATGTGTATATGTGGTATGAAAAAAGGGTGACAATCTTGTACACAGATAGGATACAGGAACATCAGATAGGAGAATTTCTTTTCTTCTAATTTTTTTAAATATTTATTTTTGAGAGCGAGACCTCACTTGAGCAGGGAAGGGGCAGAGAGAGAGAGGGAGATGCAAAATCCGAAGAAGGCTCCAGAATCTGAGCTGTCAGCATAGAGTCCAATGCCAAGCTTGAATCAAAAACTGGGAAATCATGACCTGAGCTGAAGTTGGACGCTTAACCAACTAAGCCACCCATGTGCCCTAGGAGAATTTATTTTCTTGAAAAAGGTTCTGAGCAATTATGATAAACTGCATAAAATACTCTCATATAATATTTCTATAGCACCTAAAATTTCTAAAATATTCCTAAAATCATTTTTACAAATTTTGTTTCATAGCTGCCCTGTATTTTCACTAGGTATACTACTATTTACATAAATTTCACATGAAAAAAAAAAACATGGTCAAAAAAGTCAGGGATAGGACTTAAGGATTTTGAAATCATGCAAAGCATAGCAAAGCATTCTGACATGCACTACACTCTCAAGTGAAGTCTGGGAAAGAGTCTGCAAAAACATTATATGAGAAGATAAAAGGAGAAAACCAAAGATCAATAGCTGAAAACAGAGAAAGAAAAGGCTAATTCTAAGTATAGCTGAAAACATGTTCCTTGACTTAAGACAATAAGACACAAAAGCAATTCCCATACTTGGGACACTTTACAAATGGACTAAATTGATGATCTGCCAGGAAGGCATATGCATCTTTTATGTCTTTGATTTCTATAATTCACAAACACTTCATTAAGGGATGAATCCAATCAGTTCCTTTCTTCTGTTCTCTATCCGTATAAGGTAAATGCCTTTTTACAGAACTAGAAAGTGACCTCAATATTTTCCATGTCTTTCATATTAGTTTTATTAATGCCTGCTACTCAGCTGGACTAATCTCATTCTTGTTACTTTTTATTTCAGATTTTAAAGCAGCCTCATTATTTATAGTTAGCCATGTTTACCACTGGCCACATGGCAAGAGACAGTAAACTGCACACTTATTTACATTTAACTTATAAATAATTATTCTTTAACTTTTATCTCATTCAAGGATTATAATGTTATTAAGATAATAAAAACTCTGGGAAATTCAACAATCATACCAAGTAGCCTCTCTTCCAAATAAAAGGTATGTGAAAAAAAAAACAAAAACAAATAAAAGGCATGTGATATATGAAATATCTTGATCTTTATTTTGTTTTTTGACAATTTATGAGATATAGGTAGTAGAATAATTTATTAGTTCCCACTATAGCAAAGAATAACTGAGTTATATGAACATATTCCTGGTCTGTTAAAAAAATTAAATTTTAAACATTCACATTTCTTCAGGCCATTCAAATTCCACTATAGACCTCTTTTGTTTAAAGCATCTTTATGTGATACTTTTTACAAGTGTTGAAACTTATGAATAAAATGAAAAACTATTATCAAACCATATTTTTAATGTATCAAATGTTTATTTCTAAAAAGTGAGTACACAGCAGTGATAACATCTGAATATTAAGAGGCCCTATCTGGGGGCACCTGGGTGACTCAATCAGTTAAGTAAGTGTTCAACTTTGGCTCAGGTCATGATCTCACAGTTTGTGAGATCAAGCCCCACATCAGGCTCTGTGCTAACAGCTCAGAACCTGGAGCCTGTTTAGATTCTGTCCCCTTTCTCTGCCCCTCCTCCGCTTATGCTGTCTCTCTCTGTCTCTTAAAAATAAATAAACATTAAAAAAAAAAAAGAGGTCCTATCTGCTAGTAGAATGTCCCACCCTCTTACTCTTTATCCCTCTTGCTTAGTCTGACCATGTTTACGTTGGTTACCATTGCTGAAGCTATTGTTTGTTACACTATGGCTTGGCTTATGGATATGGACGCTGACTGGAGGAGGAATGGAGAGAGCAGCAGTGTGCTATACTGGTAGGTAAAACTGAAAACCTGACGCCTCAAGCCCGAAGTAAACAAAAAGTAAAAGCTGCTTTTTCCCTTCTCGTTACCCACTCCTCAGAGACAGTCACTCATCATTAATAGTTAAAGTATTTTTAGTGGGATTTAAAACCATAAGAATTTTGTGGGGGTATTAAAACTCATAAGCAAGCCACAACCCACACCCAAAGAAGAGAAGTCACAGAAAAGACAGACTGAAATAAAAATATTTTTGGCTAGCCTGTAATTACACATCACATACATGACTACAGCATTTCACAGTCAGTTTTCAAGACTCTTCATGTAATAATGGAAGACACTACAGGGATGAATCTAGTTCAACTATTCCCAACTTACATAACCTACAGATTTCTATCAAAGCATCGATAACACTTGTTTCCCTTTATTAGTTTGAAGACTCTTGAAAGCAGTGAGGAGACTCACTGAGCTTTGAATTCCTTGATGCCCAGTCCAGTACCTGACACACAGCAAATGCTTGATAATTGGTGAATACAAGACTGAGTCAACCAGTGGCTGCCTGGGCTCATTCCGTGAAGCCTTCCTCAAGTGACAGTCCAGTCTCTTATTGGAACACTTCACAATGGGCTTTCTTTACTTCCCAAATCAGTCCACCCAATTTTTGGTCTATTGTGACTATTCACAAATTGAAT